TCCTGTGTTAACTAAAAAGGTGATAAATTATTTGATCGTTGTACAAGGTTTACTTCTACATACTATATTCCAACTACAGAGCAGATTGGTTATCTTTCAAAATTTATACATTCATTATCAAAAATAATAACTCAATTCTCAGGTCTCTAATGCTTTTCTAGTCCTTTACACAATAACAAGAACATAAATAATAAAAAGTCCATAATAACATTACAACATGGACTGGTTCTTCCGTCGTTTCGGTACCTTCTTGTGTATGAACATATCTAAAACATTAATACATGTGGGAGTTACAAAATTGATGCATTATTTCTAAGTACCTGGGGAAACATAACATCCCTTTCAGTCTTAGTTCTTTGACGACGCGACAGTTTCAGAAAGGGTGTCGTTATATTTTGCTGCGGAATATAAATATTTTCACAAATTGGCCACTGAATACTTTTTCGTCTAAGTTGGGTTTTACTTGCAATATACCTCGCTATTAGGTATTTGTAAATGTCAGGTACCAGTAAGTTATTTGAAAATAGTGTGGACGTATTATTAGGCGATTTAAAATAATTTTGTTTACAAAAAACCACTGTTCAGAGAAAAGAACCCTATAATTTTATTTAGGTATTGTAGCATAATTACTTTCCAAATGAAATATAAACTGAGCCGTTAACTAAGCAGTCGTTTACAGTTTTCAAAGCAAGGAAGACTAAGCAGAAAGGCGGTTGTGCGAGACGAATAGCAGGCGCGCTCTATAAAAAGTCAGTTTGTTTACAGGACTGCCGGATACAACTGGAAGGTGGCGGACCACATGTGTAGTGATGCTTATCCTAACCTTGTTCCAAGTATTCACCACAGGGTACACGCCAATACAGTAGCCGCGCCCGTCGCGTAGTCTGCCTTGTTTCATTTCGCATCAAACATCGTTCATTTCTAATATTAAATTGCCCAGTAGCCGAAATTCTAATGTAAAGATGTAATTATCAATGTCTGTATTCTATACAAAATAGAGTATCACAACACCGGACTTTCAAATATGGAAATTACTTTAATCTAAACGGGAAACTGACTTAATTTAGCAAATACATGGTTACATTAAAAAGCTTTAAATGATTTCAATTCGTTACCGTACATAAAAATTGTACTGTAAGAATCGTATTGTAATTTAAATGTAGTTGTAGCCGTTGGATCATGTGACTAGAATATGCATGAAGTTAGTTGAGTATTACTGTCATGTCGTATAGATACGTAGCCTCTTTCGCTGTTACGGAATGAGTCACGACTATTGTGTCGTCGTGTTACCATAAATAGCAACAAGATCTGGAGGGTGCTAAGGCAACTTGACACATGAACTAAATCATGCGCCTCGGACCGGTGTCAGTAGCGTTGCCACTGCCACGGTTGGAAAATTAGAACTCAAAAACGAAGTGCCTTTCGTTCTCTTGTAGAAGAGCGAAGACACTCCACTCTGTCTTGCGTATGTCGTCTCGAGTGTCTTGGCACAATGACTTTCTTCTGTATATTATTGCTTCATATTGTTTTTGTATGTCTTAAAATAACCAACGAACAGTTATATGTTCCTTTATTAACTGAAATTAACTAGTAACTCTTAAGCTTGGTGAAGCTGCATTTAATAAGCAGGGTTTTATGATATACTTACTGGTGTCCGAATATGGCAGGCAGATTATTACCTTCTCTCACTATAGTTTATTAAAGCAGGACTTAATTGGTGATAAAGTTAGTTTACTGTCGATTAAGATAATAATTTCCGTTACATAGATACATTATTGAAAATGCCATTACCAATAAAGATGTAGAAAGTATTAGGGGTTTACTCAATTTGTAAAATGAGCAAGCAAATGCCGATAGAAGCAGTCGTTCGACGACATCAAGGGGCCGTTATTAATATTTCTCTCACCCCGTTGACTGGTTTCTAGTACTTATTGACATTATCTGTATCGCCTTCGGATCTTTTATTGGTGAGGTATTGCTTGAAACTGTTTTAGAAAATATAAAACGTAATATTATTTTATTCTTTGTGAATCGTAAACTTTTGTCAATACATCTTTGTTCTATTTCCGTACCAGATTTTGTTGTCTACATACAATGTGACCATTTTTTGTGTTGTTTGTTGCTGAAGTAATTTTGTAGAAGATGTCGACTTCCAATTCAAAAGTTATATTATTTGCGTACGCCACTTACCTGAACGTAAGACGAGGGAGAGATAAGTAACGCCACTACACCTCATTCTAAAATTAATCCCCTAGTCCGTTTGTTTTATTTACGTAGTAGAAATGTTTCATGTTGTTCGTTTTGTTTTCGGCTTTTTATTGTAATATGTAATAATTTGTATCCTGTTTCTAATACAATCGTAGATTGTGTTTATTTTGAACATAAATCTACATACGAGGTGTCAGCATCATTATTGATGTGGTTCCGGCGTGCGACGTCCTACACGTGACGAACGTATAAATTGGGTAACTATTTGGCAGTATTCGTTTTGGAAGGTCAGATACACAATTTCATATACATATATGCTTAGAGTATTGTATTTATACAAACAGTCCGACGGAAAAAATTGAAAAATATTGTAGGACTTGTGATTCCAAATCCCAAATGAGTATTGACTAGGTACCGTACCTACTCAAATATCGCTGGATCCAAAACAGTTTTTCATGTCCTTGGGGCACGCCGATTATATTTTTTTTTGTGATAAATCTTTCCTGGCTTACAGCATTGCATTTGCAGTGTTAAAAGTAAATAAGTGCGACGGGCCTATGTAATAAAATATTTCATTATGTATGCAAAATTTCTTGCCGAAAACCATTTTAGCCGCTCCTTTTTTGATTGTCAATTTCATCTACCTACTACATTGTTGGGTACAAATACATCGGCCTGTATTTATTTCCACAGTACCGGGCATAAAAGTAATCTATGGGGCGATCTCGGGATTTAGCCCTGCCTACCCACCTTAAGCCCACTCACTCTCTTTAATGGCTGTTTGCTTGTTGTAAATATAAACAACTGTTACTTTGAAACTTTTCTTTATATACGATACGAATTTTACATCAGCTCAACCACTTTGAGGTGTATGTTCACAAGCATACGTCTATGCTGCTAGTTTCTGGTTTTTAAGTATCTATGTATAATAAATAGTAACAAATTTATATCGACAGGTCTCTAAAATTATGAAAAAGTATTTGTAGCCATTTTTGGCCTTTACTATACCTTACTAATATTTTTATAGGAAATGGTGGAGTCTCAAGGCAACATAGATTTGCTATCTACATTTTGATTATGACTATGAAGTGTGATTATTCTAGATGAGTTCTCTCACCGTGTGAGCGCAGACTCAGCCGGCAGTCTGTACAATTGTGTCCAATAGCCACTTCCTAATTTTCTCGTATCCGGTGCTGCGCTACATGTGCGTGTGTAGTTCTTGTTATATTCCGCTCTCTGACATTACACAACTTAGTACTTAGCTCATAGGATAAATCTTATCAAATGTTATTAAATAATTTTTACTTAAGACATGTAGAAACAATTGGAAATTTAGTAGGTATACTGGGAGAAGACTGGTATGTTCAAAACTCAAGGACATTTTTTCTGCTCCGACCAGCCTCCCGCTGACAAAGGGTGTCCTGTTAGATTTCATTTCAAGTTTAATTTTGTTACCGACAGGCTTTTGGGCCGTAAAATATAATTAAATGGAGAACGCGCCTATATTAAACATAACAACAGGCTGTGCAACCTCGTTGGAAATTCAATTGCTATTTCTACTTAATATAACAATTATACATAGGTAGCGTGAGGCTAACAGAAACGCTGATCGTTTCTGTGTTCTGATTTTTAGAGAAAAATCCAATTTCTTTATTTATTTTAACTTATTTATTTGTCACATATCAAACCAATTCACGTTAAAATACTATACATATAATACGCCTTCTAACATAATGTTACGTATATCTGGACACGTGTTAATGTACCGCTGCCCCGGCCCGGGGGCAGGACAAGGAACGGGGTGGTAGTGTAGACTTTTCTGACATGTATACAACAATTAGTAGCTACTACAATATCTGTAATGTTTTATATTTCAACTGTGTATAGTACTGCTACTACCACATATATTTTATAGGGGTAAAAAAATTAAGTTTGTAGCGGTAAGGGGGTGGGGGGGGGGGTAACCTTTGGAAACGCTGCCTGGTTGGATTTCCAAAAATGTTTCATTGACAATGTTCTTAAATGCTTTAAGCTATAAATTATACTTGATTTGCGTATTTTAGTCGAGCTATCGCTTTAAACGCTGCAGTTTTTAAAATCCCGGGATACATTACTTTTGTACGTGCGAAGTCGCGGAAGGAAACTAGTATAATACATAGTCAAACTGTGCTTAAAGCCCCTAAAGACGTACCGCCTTATTATATTTTTTTAAATTGTTATGCTTAGTATTTAAAATTTCCTTAACAAATAAAATTTAGGACGGTGTTAGTATTAAGATGGTATAATGTATGGAACCCAGTTATAACAGTATAAACGCTTTTGAAAGTCATATTTTATTATGATATCTGTTTTGTTTATACATGAACTGTTTTAGTTCTCGTTTGACTTCTCGACCAAGATATCGTCTTTTTATTCAATTTTGATCCGGGTTTTGTTTGCGTTAACGAACTTAATACTAGAGTTTCATAGTTACTGTGTAGGTAGCGGGCTACTGAGGCATCACATTTCGAATTTGCTTTTCGGTGAAGAAGCTAAGGCATGCTCGGGTGGCTCGTGTTTTGGCACGAGTTCTTCGCGTCAATATTTCGATTCGCAGCCCAGAAACGTCAACTATAAGCGGGTTTATTTATTACGACAGAATTAGTACATAAGCCACCTAGACCGCGTCCCTGAGATAAATAGCTCGGAATTCTTTGATGATCAATGTCGTTTTGATGACACATAAAGTATAAAGAGGTATGGTGAATGATTTGTGCTATGAAGCTATAACGTTGTTTAATTATTAATTCCAGCATATGGTGGGGACGGGTATGGCGACCCCGTTCCCTGCGGCGGCGGCGGCTGCGGCAGCCGCGGCTCAGTTCGCAGCTAATGGCGACGCACTCGCCGGTGTGAAGGCCGAGGCTGCAGGCCCGACAGCACCACCTCAGCCCCCGCTCGTTAAGAGCGAAGGCCCACCACCGCCCGCGCCACTACCGCCAGCCAACTTCTCCCCACAACCACCTCCTCAACAAACACTCACACAAAATTCAGTAGAAAACCAAAACAACAACAATAATACGGTAAGTTTCATTCTAGCGTATTAGTTTTTAAAAGGGACTTGGTTTATTCTCAAACGAGTTACGTGGATAAAAATCAACTCCATCATCGTCATCAGGCTCTTCTTCTTCCACGGAGAAGGTTTGAGCGGTAATCACAACGCAAACCCAAGCTTATTGGCACTCTAATGCATAAGAAACGGCCACCTTAAATTACGGGCTACCACGACATTTGACCAGTCTTCTACTTGTATTGGTCTAACGATCTCTTAGTTTTCTTTCTTCAAAGTAACAAGTGACAACTTTTAAGCCATCTTCTATTGTCGTTTGATATTCAGTTGTACGCAAGAAAATACTTAATTGTTATTTGATATCAACGCGTAACCTTATTTAGTTGAGTTTAAAATTGAAATATGTTTTATTACCATCCTCAGCAAAGCGAAGGCGAGGCAAACGAAGAGAGCACGCCAGTGAGTGTGGCGGCGGCGGTGGTGGCGCAGCAGGCGGCGGCCGTGGTGGCGCAGCAAGCGGCGGCGGCGCACGCGGCGGCCGCAGCCGTCAGCGCCGCCGTCGCTGCAGGCAATGTTAACGCCTCCGGCACACCCGAGAAACCGACACTCGTACCCGTCTCACAAGCCTCACAACCTAAACGATTACACGTCTCCAATATACCCTTCAGATTTAGGGACCCAGATCTTAGAAATATGTTTGGGGTACGTATTTCACTGTAGTACCTTTTCTGCAAGCATGGCAACAAACAAACAAACCCGTTGTCGGTGTCAAACTGTCAGCTATTTAATTTCTAAACTTTTACCTTTCAGCAATATGGCACGATTCTCGATGTAGAAATTATCTTCAACGAACGTGGCTCCAAGGTAAGCAATACTTTCAGCCATTAGCTGAAAATCGAGTGGCTCGTTAAAATCAGTCGTTCGACAGATTTTAATGTGGTCACTTAAAAATATGTTTTACGCATAGAAACAAAAACATCCTGTGTTATCCGCCTGAAGCATCACAATCTTATGTATCACAATGTATAAGCGGGTAATACTTTCATGTGATTAAGATGGTGTTTTTGTTTCTTTGCAATTATTCGAGAAAATGAAGGAATAACTTTTAGATACACGTACCGTAACTAACGAGGTCAATATAATGTTTCCTACGCTAAACAAGGCATGGCAAGTAAGGAGACTTGTCGAGTATGTTTGTCAAGGTTAAAGTAGAGTAATAAAGCTTGCTCTTGTTATTTACTTATAAATCTCACGCACTATACCGCGGTGCTCCCTCATCAACATGCTACGCAAAGCGCTAGCGAAGGTGAGGCGCGTCGATGTCACATTTTTGTTGATCAAATTGAGACCTGAAATGTCAAATAAACATTCTGTAATTTAAACCTCGTTGAACAATACATTTTATATTTTTGTACTCTATGTAATAAAAATTGTTCCTTTGATATATTATGTACCAAATTTGCACTTCATAGCTATTGACCTGTGTAAAATACTTGTTCTATTTAGATTTTACATTTTGGCTGAATCAACATTTTCAAGTAAATTATTGTCAATTTTGTTTTAATGGTTTCAAAAAGCAGAAGTGCAGTAGCTAAGAGGTCTTACTAACAATTTATTAGTTATCGCTGCCCAAACCAAAGTAACTACCGATTTTATACAAATATTTCCTAATAATAATATGTTCTAAAGTTTAACTTATTTTCAAGTCATGCGATTTGATTAATTATTCCTTGCTTAACAGAAATTTAAAGGCAAATGGGCTTAGTAAAATAATCATAATTGTGTTTTAAAACAAACTTCTTTCTCATAGCATATTGGTTTTAATGTTTGGTGCAGTATCTCTAATTGCATTGTATATTATCATTGAATAATATTGTCTATTATTCTGATTTTGACAAAATCTGAACTATATTTACTTGAGTGCACTACTGACATACTTACTGTCTTATTTAACTATTTATACGAGTATAGCATTTGTTATCGGTTCGAACGTGACAGTTTCACAGATTTCATAACTCAGTCGTAGTTTGTTTATTTGAGTATAAATATGGCGGGGTAAGTAAGTCACTAGTGCAATATATTGTTATTTAGCAACATTAATTTTACATTTCAAATATACTCAAAAAACAACTCACTGTAAATGATAATTCCCATGAAATTTAAAGAGTTATTATCGAAATATTTTTATAATAATTGATTGGATTGAACGCTTTTTCGTGTTTACTGCTTTCCTTGTGTCAGTTTGGTGACCGCCCCTAAGTAGTCCATGCTCGCTCATGTCAAGAAGTAATTTACTCTTTTAAATAATAGCTCCAAGTTATTTTTTCTTCAATGCCTCACATTGGGATATGCAGTATTAGAGAATGATGCATCGTCACTATAACAGCTGATTTCCTAAGTCATATTTTCAGGACAGCTCTATTATTCATCACTAATGAGGTTGTACAATCGTCCAAACTGCTTCGATCTTTTAGATTTTCTTATTTCTTTATGTTTATGATATGTTGTATATATTGTTATGTACAAACCCTTTAATGCATCTATGTTGTAGTTTGGATGATCAGTCATTCTGATGTATTTAGTCTATTAGATTGACAGTGTACTTACTATTTTCTGTCCACTATGTTATTAATAAATAATACAAAAATTCGTTCAGTCATGCTTCCTAACAAGGGAATATAATTTTTATTAGTTTTGGGCATGTACATTTTGCTGATCCCTGGAAACACAATGTTATATAATGTAACGCAATGACTATATGATGTAAGTTATTTTCCTAGAAGTAACTTTTAGGGTGCATCACTTAGTTTGGCTTTATCTCGTATAACTTCGGTAACATTTCTCGTTTTCATTTGGGAACATTCTAACCGGTTTTGGCTAATATAACCACAATTTGATTTTACATTAAGTGATTATTGTTGTGTTTGCAAATACACTTGAGTACCACGATAATTAGATGTACATGTAGAGCTTGTGAGAAAAGTTGACAATGTATCGAAAATAATTTAATAAGAATGTTGTAATAAGTTAAAGTTGTGATTGCACCGGCTTAGAGTGTTGTCCGAGAAGAGAGTAACGCAATGTTCCCGAGGTGTACGTGTTGTGTCTTCCTCGTCTGTTGGATCGATTCTGTCTGTCGACGATACTGAGAGCTTGTTGCACTGTGTGCGTTGTGTTACAGCCCCGTCGGGTACCGCGGTAAAGCGTTGGACGGCCCTCGCCTCTCGTAAATGATTTTTCTTTCTCTTTCTCTCTGCCCAGATTTAATGTTTACGTTATAAGTATTTGCACTCAGAATGGTAATAATAGAGCTGTCATTTGCTTTTATAAGTGTAAGCGTTTCGTACAATCAGCAACTTGTTTGCCACTTTCACAACTCGTCTCTTCCACTGTATTGTGTGCTGTGCTAGCTGCTTTTTGTATCTATGGGTTATCACCATTTATTGAAAGTAAGTAGTTTCATTTGTCTGAGCACGATCTATTGATTCAATGAAATTGGCCAATATTGTTCGACGCGTTCTGAATGCCATTTACGTCAATTTTGATAGTATTTGTGATACACATAATTATTATTAATTAGGATGTACCAGGTGTATATTTTATCTATATTTATTAATAAAACCGCTTATTTTTAACGTGTTAGTTATGGGCACTGTAAAGTACATGCACCGTGTTATATTGTAAAATAAAATAGATGTAATATTGATATGATTCTAAAAGTTAGTAGGTATACATATTTCGACTACTTAGTGGTCTTTAATTTGTATAACTAAATACTGTATTGATGTTTGGTTTACTGTACTGTGGTTGCTCCGTAATGGACTATCGAATCTGTTTGGGTCCACCTGTGTTCCTAGATCCAACTAGTTCATTGTAGCCACTGCATGATCGGTGAGTTTTTGTATAGAACAAATCGCAGCTACCATCTCACACAATAAGTACTTGTCTTTTTGATTGAAGTTAGTAGTGTCTATGAATTAGTGTCGAAACAATCCTTAAGACTCGTTGTATACAGTGATACAAACTCTCCTACCAATAGTACAGACTACTAGGTCGAGCGACGTTACATTAATTTATTACTGTGATCCAAACGCTTATGTGTACCCATACAGCTAGAATACGCTCAAAGTATCAACGTAATCGACTCGATAATATTTTCTCGATATTTCACTAGAATATTTAAAAGAATATGCAATGCATAAATGTTAATTTTTGTTGCACGTTGTTTTTTGAGCGACGCTGTTTTTAATGCATGTTTTGTCTGTCTTGCATGCAGGGATTCGGTTTTGTAACATTCGCAAATAGTGGTGATGCGGAGCGAGCACGAGAGCGTCTTCACGGCACCGTGGTTGAGGGCAGAAAGATAGAGGTGTGCATGACTCAATAAACTTCCATCAGTAGCACTATGTAACTTTAACATCCCGCTCCTACGCCCACCGCCCACCGCAACCTGCGCTCGTCTGCTCTGTAGTTACTGTCATGCTAGCGTGCCGCGCCGCGGTCCCGCATATTAGCACTAAGTATGCCGGCGTCTAATCCACAAACAAACCTTATTTATTTTATCCCTTTACTCTCTAGACGGTCATTTAATATGCCGATCGAAAGAGAGAGTGTCTCACAGAGAAATGTAGAACGAACCGTATCGTCACAATGCCGCTGAGGTAAGATTGCTAAACAAATTTTAGTTCCATTCTATCTATTCATTTTAAATAATATACGAGGCGCTGAAATGTGTTCTTGTAGACGGGTCAGTCTGCGCCTATGCCAAGAACAGAGTGAATGTGGTTACGAGTGGAAAAGTATGCTCTCTTTAATATTCTTCTATGTCCCCTATTAATTTTATTTTAAAAGTAAACTCCCTGATTTCCTTTATTTTATGTTTATATATCAGATGTCATTGGCGGAAACTACTTGAAAAGTAAACTGTTCTATCTTTTGTTTGTATTAATTTTCTGTGTTGAATTTTGTTGATATACGTATATGAGACATCTGATATCCAATTGGCTGATTTTAATATTTCATTTTAAACATTTTATATTTTAAATAACAGTACCTATGAGAGGTTCGAGCCTCTTGAACATACACAATAATATATTAAGCTATAAAGAGTTTCTGAAGCTATATCTACATAAATCTTTGTAATTGTAAATTATGTTTTGGACGTCATATTTTTGACTCCACGTTTGGCGCAGTGCCTGGACAACTAGCTGCCGCGCAACTTGTCGCGGGTTTGACTCCCGCACGGGACAACTCTTTGTATAATCCAGAGATTGTTGTTCATGGTCTGGGTGTGGAGTGTATGTAAAATTTTATGTTTGCCCACGACACAGGAGAAATTTCCTTACGGGGTCAATGTTTTTTTTTTTCTAAAAAAATAAAGTAAAAAAATCTGACAAACAAAACTTAATATTTTTGTTTACATTTCTTAATAAAATCAGCCAATTCATTGTTGTAGTAAAAACCCAAACGTATTCTCATATAGACTTTACTTCAAATCAGGTTAATAATGCGACAGCGCGAGTGCAGACAAAGAAACCTCCGACAGTTCCCAACGGTAAGTAGTGAGACGATCGTTAATGCAATCAATTCAATGACAACTAACAAAATATAAAGTTGACACGTTTTATAACATGACCTACCTTATTGTATCACACCTGTACAAATATAATGCATCTTGGGATTTTCTCTTTCTAATCCAACCAGTTATTCTGGCTAGAAATGGATCAGTTCCCACTCTGGGTGAGAGAGCTGAACTTGTAAACATCGGTGTTGTCCATGTTAATGTACTTAATTATTACATGTGGCTAGTTCCGTTGTCTGAATGCTCCTAGATGAATGCTATTTAGAGAATGAGTCCACTGTCAGCTGCCGGAGACAGTCTCGCGCCTGCCGAGACGTACCCACAGTACATCCTACATCTACTTCTCAATGATTTCCAAGAGACTTGTTCGAGCTGTGCAGAAGGCTGTCTCCGGCGCCACATTGCCTGGCGAACTTACTCACTGTAAACAAACGGATGACACCGTCTATTAGTCAGCTTGCTAGATAACTTGACACAGTTCTGTACAGCTACAAGACACATGAATGTTCATACCTTGACGTTTGCTGGAATGAATGTAACTTCTGTAATGCACTTCTTTTTCATATCTCAATTTTGTAGTAGAGAATGTCCTTTAGGATTTTGTTTTCATAGATTTAGCAAACATTTTAATCCGATTTGTCAAGATAATACAGGATTAATACAGTTCATTTATTTTGTTCCAGTGTGTGTCCAGTGGCCGGAAGGTGAGAACCTTCATTACGATTTTGGTATGAGATTTAATCGTTAAACTATATAAAACTTTCGCGTTTATATGATAATGAATAATTCGAGCATATGGTCCTTTACCGAGTGTGATTGGACGGGTCCATTATTGTGATGAGATCTCCGCCGCACCTGTCCGAAGCACATAAAATGATGTAAGCACCGAGCGGCAGTGCGTCTACTGTTCCGTACGACAGTCACGGCTCGAAGGTGACGTAGCCCGAGCCGCACGGAGCTAGGTGTGGGTAGTGAGGCCCCGTGTGCGTGTGCAGGGCTGCGGGTGTCGGGCGTGACGTGGCCGTGGCTGGGCGCCGCGCCCGCCGCCGCGCCCGCGCCGCCGCTCGTGCTGGCGCCGCGCGCCGCGCAGCGACGCAGGTAACGCATGCCCCCATCCCCGCTGTGTGTTGCATGTAGCGCTGCGCCGCGAGCCGCGCGCCGCGCCCCTCGCCGCCGCCCCCGCCCCGCACGCCCCGCACGCCCCGCCCCAGCACGCGCTCTCGCACGCCGTGCTCAACCGCGCCGCCGCCTACGCCTCGCAGATGCACGCCTACGCGCCGTGAGTAACACCACCGCACTCCGCACTACCCGCTCCCCCACTGAGGCTATCCATGTCTGTCATTAAACGTCATAACCACCAAAATGTTCTTATTTCATAAATAGACAAGAAACATTCATCTTTTGCCATGGATGAGTATACAACAGACAATACCATTTTACAATTCACAAAATAGCTGGACGACCGGATGCTTCTATCGCGAGTTCGATTCTCGCCCAAGATTATTAGTGTAATTCACCTGTTTCAAGTGATGTGCAAATCAAATTAAATATTTGTATACCGCTGTAAAATGGTTACTCTTATTAATAAAAATGGGTATTGCATAAATAAGCTTTTATTTTTCGAAGTGATAGTGTTACCTATCTAGTAAAATGATTCGCTGATGGCGATGCGACGCGCGGCATAATATTAATAACGCTATGTGTACGACAGGACGGAAGCCTCTTCCCAACTTCCCGATTCCCCAATCCCTACTCCCCGCTCCACCTAACTTTGGTACGATTTATTTAATTTGTTAATTAACCACCAGCCACCAGCACATCATGTTGTCACGTAGTGTAACTGTGTAACTAACACTAGTCACAGTAATCCTAACACGATAGTTAGCTAAGCTTTGAATATGTTAATGTTAAATGCTTATCCCCTCGTTGTAAACTTGTGTTGATTAGACAACAATAGTAGATAACAGTTATCTAGTTTCTTCATTACTTCTTATTCTGCACTAATTGCACTACCATGAACACTAGTGTTCATAGCACTGTACACCTTAGGTAGTAGATTAGAATTTTCCTATCTTACCCAATTCGGTACAATAATTTATTTAATAATGTTTATAAAAACTGTATGATGTTATTTTACTCCGCAGTGTGTATTACGACCCGTTCTTAGCAGCGGCGGCAACGGCTGACTCCAACTACAGACTCCAGGTAAATACGCTAGTCGTTAAGTGTTTGTATCGAATGTTATTGCAAATGAATATTGAAATAATAGAGAGGCCGAGCCCGAGTCTTGCATAGCGAGGCGCCGTAGCGTGGTGGTGACAGTGCGTGTGTTGTTACAGGCCGCGAAGCCGGCAGCCGAGGTAAACGTCACGCCTTTAGAGTTCAGTTTCGCTCGATATGCGACTGTATCTGTATCTCTATCGCTTCCTGATTCATGTTCCACCACGCTAGTATAAGTTCGATATCCATCAAGGAGTGAGTGCTGGGATTTTGTTTGCTCCTTTTATTACTCGTATGGTCCTATTGGTTGGTAATCCACCGTAATGCAGGGTGCACATTGTGTTTGTGGTAACCAGATGGACTTGGCACACGCGCGGCCGCGGTCGGTCGTGCGGATTGCTTTCTGTTGAGTTGATCCTTGTTCGTTGGTATTGTGGTGGGTGATTTAGTTTTAGGCAATGTTGAGGCTGTACGTTGATCTATCTGATGCTAATACCATGCTGCGAGTAGAACATTGAGCCCACAAATGTAATTGCAATGTTAAGTACACTAACAATCACTGATAACAAAATGTAGCTAGATTAGAAAACTTCAGCGTTTGACTTAGTTTGTATCGATCCGTCGTAATCGTTTCTTTAAATGCATGATCATGTTCATCGCCCACATTAACATCTTATTAGTCTGCATCTCATTCTCAAAATCGATTATTGAAATCGATGGTTTGTGCAGAAAATAACATCAAACATCATAGAAACGTGTGTCGGCAGAGTTGCATGTTCATCGACTTTTATGTAAATATAGTATTTACAAACGTGCACAATCTTTTTCTTGTATGTAGTACCTAAATGTTTTTTCTGCATCGTTTTCGCTTCCAACTTTCGCCTACGCAGATCGCTATTGTGACATGGAAATTCATCTTACGTCATTCCGTCGTCTGTGGAACTTCACTCACGGTAAGATTGGCCACGTTACGCGAAATGTGTATTGTATACCCGAATGGTATTCTCGGGGAAGATAAAAGGCGATCGTCTTGTGCCTTTGTGGGCTCACTGTTCCAACAAAGAAGTTTCGAATGCGAGATAAAGGAATGCAGCAGAGAGGCTGAATATGTATGTGTTGCAGGCGGCAGCTGCAGCGGCGGCGGCAGCGGCGCCCCTGCTGAAGTCCCCGCTGACGTCGGCGCAGCACGCGGCGGCGGCGGCGGCGGCCGCCAACTACGGCGCGGCCGCGCGCGCCGCCGCCGCCGCCGTCAGCGCCGCGCCCGCGCCCGCCCTCGCGCCGCTCGCTGCCACGTCAGTACCAACGTCCACCTCCAACACTTTGATGTCGCTCATGTAAATACAAGCTCTACACACTTACCTAACCTACTCTAATGCCACACGATAACACAATAATTTTGTATTCCTTCCCCAAAGCTGCGCAACTTTTGTTCTATTGAAATTGCAACTTTAATATTTAGCACTACGATTGTGACGATAAACTCACTTATATTTTTTATATAAAGTAGATAATAATAGGTACTTTGTGGATAATGAATAGAAATTGCAATTTCAGGTACGGTAGGGAGTATGCAGACCCATATTTAGGCCATGGAATCGGACCAGTATCAGGATACGGGGTAAGATATAATAATGTTTATTTCGTTTTATACCTAAAATTTATGATTTGACTTTATATCATACTATAATATAATTTGACTTACAGACTGCAGTGTACAGAAGTGGCTACAACAGATTTGCGCCATACTAGGAAGCCAGTGGATGAAAACGATTGAACTCGAATACCTTCGTCACCTTCACCTTAACATGACAATGAACTCTCTTTGTAAACGTACAAACGTAATTCATAAATTTAAGGATCAATATTAAGCGCTAGCAGACTACCGTGTAAGTATCTAAGCTTGGGTAGCAAACTAACGAAGTAACGAGCGAGCGTGGAGTCGTGCAGTCGTCGAGTCGTCGCGCGTCGGCGTCCACAACTTATGAAATACCAAAGTCATTAAAATTTCTAACAGAATACTTTGTAAGTTGAACTTAATGTAAATTATTGTGTACCTAATGCTATACAAGTGCGAGCAGCTAAAGTGATTGCTTTCGTTCTATTTAGATATTCTAAGGGTTACTATAATTTTAACAGAAGTGAATTCATCTTACGAGCATACGTACCGTACTATCTAGTGTAGATGTTACACTTTGTATCACAGACAATAGAAGAAATATTTACTATATTATAATGATATATTTAGTGAGCTTTGCACTTGCATATCATAAAATTGTAAATACTTGTTTGGAAACATTTAATTCGGTCTTGGTAATTTTCTTTTAATTCAAAATTGCCAAAATGGTATTTCCTGAATACATTTTCAGCGATCTTATTCTAAATAATAATATACTCGTTAACGTTAAATGGTCTCCATTTTTATTATTGAATAGAATATATACCATCTGTAAAAACGCGAGTTAGTTAGCGTTAAACACAGCGGTATATACCTAATATATCAATTATAGTAAAATTGCCGTTATTATCTTGTAGACATGTGTGTACGCAGAGACAATAGAAATCAAATCTCAAAACATCTATTTTGGAGTAAACAAGTTATTTGGTGCGATATGAATGTGGTGCCATTTATTTGGTTGTTATTTTTACATCGTATTATATATTTTCTACAGTTACCTTGTACTCTATACAGTAATGTGACCTAGTTGTAGGCTGTCCCTCAGAGAACGCGACTAATGGCTCGTGTATACAATGTTCTGGCTCGCGTCGCCTACCTAGGCAGTCGACGCGAGGGAGAATACGTGTATACGCATGTTGTTAGTCGGTAGAACTAATATTGTATCATTTCGCTTAAAGCTTACGTTGCCGACAGTCCGCGTTCCTTCCGTCAGCGCTGTGCGCAGTCTGAGCCAGGCGTGTTCTCGTGCTCCTGTTTACTTGTACATCGGTTGCTAGATTATAAATAAGCTAATGTTTTACAAAGTGTAGGCGAAATGCTTTAGCTGTAGTCTGTAAGGGAAGAAGGGAACTCCGTCGAGTTCTTACATATCATTGAGATTTTCTCCTTGTATGTAGTTGTGTTTATTCAATAATTCTATTGTCTTTTAACAATGTCTTATTTTTACAATGCTATTTAATAATTTTGTCTGGCGTACGGACTTTCATTTTTATAGAACAAACACGCATACGGGTCCAACCCTTTTAGAAGTTGTAAATTTTAGATCTAACATTTGCATTAGGATTTTAAAGTATTGTAACATCTATGAATTCGCTCAACGTTTATACCAAAGCACAAAAACCCATCGATTCATACGTATTCGGAGAAGTGTTGCATGACATTAACCCCTTTTCGATAGATTTAATAGTCTTTCAATAAGAAAAACTTGGGAAATCTATAAGTCGTGGTGTAGATAGATGATATGAGATAGAACAAAACTACAGACTTTATTTTTTACTTCATTTGTTGAAAATTTTCATTAATCCTAAGTAATTTTTTTCTAAGGACATATCTACATGTTTGCCATCTAGAGTAGTTTAATCTTAACGTAGTTCAATGACTATATACATACATATAAATATAGATCTGAATTGATTAATTCATAGTTGATTATCAATCTTCTCATGTTATTGTAAATTCCTAAGGAATATAGTACACATTGTGTTACAGATGTGTCTGTTTGAGAGGTTGCGTCGACGTCGACGTATTAGAGCTTTGTCCGTTTATTTGTCAAACCTTTACGTAGCAAGTAGAGATAGTGTACCGAATACGTTGGGCTGGTGCAGTGCTCGGTGTCGTCTGATGATAGCTTTAATTAATTAAACGTGTTAAGGTGATGTTCTCACCCTGTTGTGTCATCTTGTAACCACAATTAGAATAACTAACTCAAGTAGCATTTCCATGACATTATTATAATTTGTCTTGCAGAATTCTAGTCTTCGCGCACAATCTTTTATTAAAATAATAAATAAATAGTAAAGGTGCTTACTCGTAAAGGTTTCATGTGATATTTACGGAATTAGTTGTCGAATCTTTGTCTCGATTTTTATTCTATTATTTCCGTACGGTATGTAATAAGCAGTTCGTGTCATATTTTCCTATTACTGATTATTTTTATAATTATTACTCTCACCTTTTAGTGCCACTGGCTTTTATGTAATAAGTTATATTTACTTTATCGTACGTTATTGTAGTCTCGTTGCAGCTTCGAACAATATTTTGTGCTTTACTGCTGAATACTCATGCGTGGATGCGTTATTTTAAGTAATTCTTAGGTTTGTAGGAATTGTCTGATTAATGCAAGATTTTGTATCTGAGTACAGAAAGAAGTACATGTGATTCTATTTGATGATTTTATTGTTTAGTTTTAGTATTTTGTATCAATTAAAGTCACAAATATTTGTGAGTTTTATATTTTTAAATCATCAAATTTTATAACAAGTTAACAGGACCTTATTTGGAAATATAATTATTTTATACGAACTTCGAAGTCGTGTCAAATTGTAAAATTAAATAATCAATCAAGTTCTGACCAAATCTCGTCTTGTTTACTTGGAATTTTAAAATATACCTACATAATTTTTGATTATGTTATCTGATAGTCTTTATGTATGATTTTAATGATAATTAAATAAATCACAAAAGCAAATTACCTAAGTTTTGTATAAAGTTACATTATAAGCCAAATTGTTGTTACTTGGAGAAAAATCAGAATTTAAATTACATATCTGACAAAATGGTTAGTGTGCTACAATAAGATTGAAAAAAAAATAACATCAAGAACAATGTATTATAAATATTATAATCATAAAATTAAGGATATGTATTTTGTAACGCGGTTTGTTTCTCAGTTTTTATGAGATGTTAAATTAAAGTTTCGTACTACTCTTGTTTCATGCTGTGCACAACTTATACGATCGTCGGCTTCTATACTGGATACTGTATTCATTAGATAAAGCGAATTGTTATATTGTGCATAATAAATCATATCAGTAGTGGTGTTAGCTAGTTGCGAGCCGGCGGCAGCGTCCACTGTACATAGGTATACTTAAAGTTACCGGCGGCCGTATTACTGTGCCCTCGGGTCATATTGTTAACGTAGCCAGAGTTGATAAGTATCACTTGTTCGTCAATTGCACTCGTCAAAGCTGTTCAGTTGGTGTTGTAGATTATTCAGATATTAGCGGGGTTACTGTTTGTTCCTGCGTGACGAACTCGCAACTTGTAGCCGTGTATGACACTCATTTTATTGCACGACATCGCCACACGGCACGTCTACAATTTGCTAGTTTGATTAACCCCTAAATAGTTAGATGGTGTAACGCATACTGATTACAGATCGATTAGTTGCTGATCTACAAGATCCAGAACGTAAATAAGTTTAGCGTTCAAAGATCCATATTATCAATGTTGACTTAATCATAATTATGTATTACGTTTAAAGTTGCTTGTAGTGATCAGGACAGTCAGTATGCGTTACAGCTGCATTGTGGGCTAGTATGCGCGTGCGCATAGTTCCCGAGCTAGTCTCGTGCACACTTGCAGCCGGCCAGTATTTGAAGTACTATTACAATACCGTGCTCAATTCCTGTATTCATGTACATTGTAAGTATAATGTTGACAAAATGTTTTTGAAGTTTAATGTAAACTACATACAATAGGTTTGTTACATAATGAATGTCTTCCGTTTGGCACATTTTATAGATATACCTACTTTGCACATTTTATTAAGGCACGGATCTACATAGTAATACTAGTTCAATATTGTTTACCAGATATTTTTTCGAGCCAAGTGCACAGCGAGCCCCTCATAAACAATTTGTGATACCTAAAGTGAAATACGATTTTTCCTTTTTTTGTGTGGCAATTTTTAATGGATTGCAAAGCTGATTTTCTCTTTTGAATTGTAAATATTTTTTTCTAATGAAAAATATTAAATGAAGTGAATCATTTTAAAGCCTTTGGCATTGTGTACTCATTTACGTTATAAATAAATTATAGTATAAAATTATCGCATTTTCATTTCCTACATGATCCAACTATTATTTAAATTAATTTCCATATAATTTGGCGCGAAATAGCACCTTTAATTGCTATTCCATGAATTATACTGATTGGGTGACAATCGTGTAATGTCGATAAGATTGCGAGGGTTTCTGATAACACACTAGGTAATGATTCCTTAGTGTGAAATAATTAAAACAATCGGAATAGAGATAATCTGGTAAGAGCGATACGAGCTGTTGTTGCGTCGTTCAAGCAGTTTCGCCGCGAGAGCTATTCAGTGAGCTTCTAGTATCATGCAGTGCTGCGTGTTATAATTGACATTTGTAAATTGTCTTACAATGGTGCTGTGTCCACCGTTCAGATTAGGCTCTCGAGCAAGGTACAAGTTCACCGTACCCGCTGCCGACAATGGACCCCGTGCCACCATCTATGTAAGTAAAACAATGGGGTATTCCATAACTACTCTAATGACTTCTATCATCGATCGGAATTTGTAAGCATGCCTATTTATAGTTGGATATATACGAAGAAATTACATTTGAATCTGTTTCCCAGATGACGTTATGTAGTCGTACCTGCACATTTAATTCAATTAGATTTTATGTAGATATTCATCCACCTGCACCTGCGGGGTATTCCAATTTCTAATTATTCAGCTAGCAAAAGGAGTAATAAACACATCACCCTAAATTTTCGGGGAATAACTGGCGTGGCGTGACCAGTCGCTTTCGATCAGTAGATATTATAATCCCTCAATGGGAATCTTTATTGAAACCCATTAGAATAGACCTACCCATAAACAGAAATTATTATTTTTAAATAACAAAATACCTCTTTCATATATGTAATATAGAATAGTTAGTACATTTTTTGTTTATCAGAATGCCATCTTGAATAACTAAAAATCAATCGAATATTTGATAAAGTTTATTGTGATAAGTAATTACAATCACTGCAGATAGCAATCGTGAAATGTAATGAGGGATTAACTTTTTAATTTAGAAACGGTTTCTTTGTTTTGTAATTGAAACGACATGTATGACTATATTGTAATATCTTATAATATAATAGGTAGGAGGAACACTTTTATGTTTTTCTGAAAACAACCTAAGTACAAATTATAATAACACTATATAGGTTACAAATCATTTAGTTTTTTTTTTTTTTTTGATGTGAGGAGAAAATCATCAAATGACTTCCATTTTTAGGCAACGCACGTACGGGTGTGGTTTTGGTTGGGTGGCGAGCTACCCTGTATCTTTTGTGTCGGATCTGTCTGTAACTATTGACAAGGGTAAACAAATTGATGCAATTTACACAGACTTTTCTAGTGCTTTTGACAAATTGGATCATACCCTTTTGCTGAGTAAACTCGAGTCCTATGGAATATATGGAAACCTCTTTAAATGGTTTCAATCCTATCTATTCCAAAGACCGCAGGTGGTGTCGGTATGACTCAGAAATATAGTTTGCCAAATCTGGGGTACCGCAGGGCTCTCATCTTGGACCCATATTATTTAATGTTTTTATTAATGACATCACAAACCAAATAAAGCACTCTAAATTTTCTTTATATGCAGACGATCTTAAAATATATCGAGAAGTAAATTCTACATCCGATGTCGATCTAATTCAAAATGACCTTAACCGAATCCAAGACTGGTGTTATAAAAATTCTAAGACTCTCAACACAGCTAAATGTTTTCACATAAAATACACAAAAAAAAGAACTCCTATACACTCGATTTACAACATTAACAGAACAGTAATACAAGAAGTCAGCGAAGTCAGAGATCTGGGTGTTATCATAGACAATAAATTAACATTTTCCTCGCACATAAGTATAAGTACACGGCAGCAAAAAAAGGAGCTCAGATATTAGAATTCATTAAAAGAAATACCAAAGAGTTTCGTCTTAAACGGACAAAAAAAAGTTATATACTAGTCTAGTACAAAGTCATCTGGAATTTGCTTCTGAAGTGTGGAGTCCCATATATGCTGTGCAGTCCCAGAAAATCGAGAGTGTCCAGCGAGCGTTCACTAGACATCTGGCTTATATCTCGTCCGGTATTTCACACAGGGTCCCATACTATCAAAGACTAAATTATTTTAGAATGAATACTCTCCATAATCGTCGCAAAATTCATGATATTCTATTCCTACACAAACTCCTTAACGGAACAGCAGACTGCAGCGAAACAACTCTTTGTGCGGGAGCTCGGACAATTTAGATATTTTTCACGATCCCCACAGCAAGCTTAAGCGCAAAGTAATATTAAGTATTAAACCAATCTCACAATGATATTGTCTCACGATAGCTACTTAATATCATAATAATAATAATACCAAATATATTTAAATAAATTAGGATTAAGGTCTTTGTTTCCGATTCATATTTTTAGTAATTTGATTTGAATTGATTTAATTTAATTTTGTGTTTTCGTGGTTCATGTTATTTTATTTTTATCCTAATCTTAATTAACGTTATTAATTAAGTTGATATTTTTATTTAAATTTTAAAGTATTAGTAATTTTCCTTAGTTTAATGTTTATGTTTACCTACATACGGTAAGTGATGTGTACATCTGTCAAAGATATACATACAAGAACTCTGTCTCAGTTATAAAATTAAGAAAATGATTTTATGTACATATATTATTGATGTACCTTATTAAATAAAATAAAATACCTACCCTTGCTCGCTGTCCGCAGACCCGCGCTTATGGTATTCCCGACGTCCGGAGTGCCTCCTACTGACTGCTACTGATAGCTTCCTTACGCGCTCTGTCTCTTTCTTCAGATATAACTTTTCGCTTCTCAGAAAGAGATGATTGAATACGAAATGGTACGCTGCAAGAGAGATTTAGTGTTTTCCGTTACAGTAACATTAGTTAATCTGTAGGTAGCCTGTAGGTATTTATATTTTTTTTTTTTGTGAGGGGAAAATCACCAAATGATTATTCCCGCTCAGGGTAGGGCGGGAGGGATTGTCAAGCTCTTACTGACTAAAACCTCCCCGTCCCTTCTACTCTGGGCCGAGGCCGCGGTGCCTCATTGCGCTTACCCCGCAACCCCGGCTGAACATCAGCCCTATAGGGCTCCGTCTGTGGTGGTCTATTGGCTCATTGAGGCGCGCGTGGAACGCTACGCGCCGTACGCTCGGGTGTACCTACATAATTGTTTATATGTACTTACATATACATATACCAACAGGCTACATAACTACCTTGTCCCAAAACCACATCAGCTGAACTTTGATATTTTTAGTAGGTAGGTAATGTATTTTACTAGCTACTACTTTTGTTGCCTGCCGGACCGAATGTGACGTACTATTCGTAGAATGACTCATGATTAAAAAATATATATTTCGTTCTTACAGAACCTTGCACATGATTTACGCCCAAACCCGGTGGTTGAAGAAAATGAAGATGAAGAAAAACCTAGTAGTGAAGGGACGAGTAACGGAATGCGACCCAGTAGTGAATCTGATACTGATTATCCCGGGGATGTCCCTCCTAAAACTAGTGTTGGGCGTAAAACTATTTCGGAGATAGTGCGGGCGAACCCAGCGAAGCGCCGTGGTCGACGTAAGAGCGGTGTGATCGCCCCTCACGTGCCAGCTGACGCCACACGACTTACAGACGCACAGTTGCAGTATGATAAATTTAAAAAAGATGAAAAGTAAGTTATTTATTAGAATTTGATTAATATTTCCACCAATATTCCAAGGTGCGAATCATTATTCGCATAGCATGTCGTTATCAATATTGTTTTTGCTTATAGATCAGCTGAACAAATAAGAAAGGCAGTTATGGCCAATGATTTCTTAAGAAATTTAATGGATGATGACCGACTAGCAGCTGTGGTAGAAGCTATGAATCCTCAAGAGTTCCCTGCGGGAAGCCTCATTATCAGAGAAGGGGAAAGTGGGAGCCATCTCTTCGTTTCAGCAAGCGGGCAATTTGAAGCACTCAAAGGAGGTCAAGTTGTAAAAACATTTGGCCAAGGAGAGGCGTTTGGTGAACTTGCAATTCTTTACAAAGCTAAACGTTTCGCATCAATACGATGTAAGTACAAGTAGATAATATCTAATATGTCATTTTTATAGGTATTATTTGTATTAAAATTATTTCATGCGTAAATATGATGTGTTATCAATATTTTTGAAAATAGGTATAACAGAAGCAAAAGTGTGGATGTTAGAGCGACGTGTTTTCCAAAAGATCATGGTCCGCAGTGGCCGACAGGAGCAAGAGGACAACATACGGTTTCTATCATCGGTACCGTTGCTTCAGGGTATTCATCCTCTCGAGCTTGGGAAAATGTCAGAGTTCCTCAAAAGGGTAATGTTGACTCATAGCGCAATTTTAGAAGGTTAATAAAAGACACAACACTATAAGTTTAATTCGTATTATTTCAGGAGTTCTTTGCGGCTGGTACACCAGTTGTACGGCAGGGTGAGCGAGGTGATAAATTTTACATAATTCGCGGTGGCACGGTGGCCGTGACAAAGCGGGAAGGTGACAGTGGTGCCCAGCTAGTGGGGACACTCGGCCGCGGGCAATACTTCGGCGAGCAGGCGCTGTTACACGAGGCTCTGAGGCTGGCGACCGTCACCGCACAACCACCTGGAGTCGAATGTCTTACACTGGAGCGAGGGTACGATCTTAAACGAGTCCTAAACACTATATGTATTGATAATGGTTTTTGTCACAGGACTGTTTTAACTATTTTTTTAATTATTCGTTTTTTCAGACCTTTCTCGGAATTTATTGGAAATATACCAGAATTGAAACGCATTTCATATGCAACTCCACGATCAGACATCATAGATAGCAGAGTATCTGTGGTCAAAAGTGGTAAGTAAGTGGTTGAATAAAAAATCCACTGCTAGTGTAGAGTTGTAGACAGATTAATAGACGGTATAAACTTAAATTAAAAACCGTAAATAGACCTCAAAAAGGAGGGGATTTTCAATTTGACCGTGTTAAACTCGACGTGACTCGATCAATGACTAAAAAGTAGGACTATCAGCAGCATACATATGTACATACATATAATCAGTGGCGGATTAAGAGTATCCGAGGCCCTAAGCAAAGAGCCCGCGTAGGCCCTCTATTTCTTAAATGAAAATAGAAGGTAGAAAGTATAAAATGAATGTTCATCACTATAGAAAATGTAGTAAGTATAATGCCGCTATATTAGCAAAGGAAAAGCCTTAGATTATATAGTCGTACAGTAAGTAAATACGTACGGTACCGCGTATGGGCATCATTTGCAATGCAAAGACAACTCACTCACTCTTAGCCAAGTCCAGTCATCTCAACCAAAATAAGGGGAAATATCGGAATTTACGATCGCATCATCACATCATCAGCCTATAAGTACCCACTGCTTAGGCCTCTTCTCACACACAGAGAATGTTTGAGCATTAATCTCCACGATTGGTCAGGGCTGATTGGCGATTTCAAACTTATAAAGTCCAGGTAACCTCACGATTTTTACCTTCATCGTATGTTACAGGTGAGATAGTCATAGAAAGTATGTACATAGGTATAACTTGGGAAAACTCACAAGAAGGGTCACTCGCTCGCGCCTTGTCATTTCGGACGTAGGTAATTTGTGGATCAATCTCGATAACATACAGGTATAAAATCAAACGGCAGCAGAGGACGGAGGCCCCTGCTTAACAGGGGCCCCAAGCACGTGCTTGTAGTGCTTATAAGTACGTTAATCCGCCACTGCATATAATTATGATGTAGCGTAATAGGTAGCTCGGGGTGCTGTAGTTAATGAATATTGATAGACCTTCAAGTTAAAGATATCATTTTTTTAAATAACCAAATTAAATAAAACTTACATAAAAACCGACCACAAAATATTAAAAAGTTAAAAATAATATCATATTAGCATTCATTTGATACCGTCAGTCGGTCGGGAATAGAACGACGATCTCCGGCCATCCTAAGCGTTAATATATTTCTTACCTTTTGAGAAATATCATTAGACGCTTTTAGGTATATCGTATTTATTTAAACATTAAACCATAGGTACCTCTTATTCTAGTTTAAGTAGATTGCGACTGCTCATGAAATTCATCCGCCCATCACCAGTTACATTGTGAAACATACCCAGGTATGTTTATTATAGTAATTTATAACCACCCAATGCGCTCAAAAAAGTATTTTTTGTAAGTTCCGTTTAGGAGGAAATTAGGTACCTACTATATATTATATTAAAAACGTAAAATAAAAAAGCAGACTGCTTGTGACCACGGTAGGTGTTACCCTGCCGAAACGTCAAGCAAAAAAACAAATAAAGGGTACGTGCGCGTTAAATCTCGTAAAACAGTAAAGTATTATCTATCTAATATGCAACGCGAAAGTTTAAAATTAGTATAAAATAATAAAAAAAATTAAAGAATTCGAGTCAAGAGAACAAACAAAATTTAAATACTTATTAGTAAATATTGGAGTTAATCCTTGATTATGGATTTACTACGCTACGATCTACTTACGCAAAATTTTATCAGTTGACCTAAATATGACACAAACATGTTATCAATAACTAGCTATTCTCGCGCGGTTTCACGCGCTGCTAGGCTCCTACAGATGGTAGCGTGATATTTTATAGCCTATTTATACCTTCCTCGACAAATGGACCAACAAACACAAAAAGAACCAGTAGTTCCGGAGATTAGCGCGTTCAAACAAATAAACAAACTCTACAGCTTTATAATAGTAAGTTATAGATAAGAAGGCATTATACGTTGAGTTGTTGGAAATAAATAAACATATGTAAACCTGCATTTCAGAATTTGAATACGTGAAGTTGAAAGACTTGGAAATCGTGGGTACCTTGGGTGTGGGAGGGTTCGGCCGTGTCGAGCTTGTGCAGTACAAACCAAATCAGAAGCTGACATTCGCATTGAAATGTCTCAAGAAGGTCGACATGGTGCAGCAACAACAACAAGAACATGCTTACAATGAGAAGGATATCATGATGTCCTGCAATAATTCCTTCATTTGCAGGTAACCTTCAAATTAAGTAAAGTAACTACTTACTTTGAGAGCCATTTTTGGACTACGCCCGTCGAGCACCGATGTGCCTGCCTCCTAGAATCTTGCTTGACGCTTGTGTCCTTTACCAATGTATTGTTTTAATATCAAAATGTATCCTATCTCAAGATAACTGGATAACGTCAATACGAACATTTTCCAAGTCCAAAATCAACTAATTATAACTTCTTACATTTGTCACGCAATTATTTGATTATTCGTATCATATTTGATCTACGATTTATACGAATTCGTTTCACTTTACAGATTGTATCGTACTTTTAAAGACTCAAAATACATATATTTCCTTATGGAGCCAGTGATGGGTGGTGACGTGTGGACTATTCTTCAGAAACAACGCTACTTCCCTGAGAACGTGTCCCGATTTATGATGGCGTGCGTAGTTGAAGCTTTTCAATATCTGCACTCAAAAAATATTATCTATAGAGATCTCAAACCGGAGAATTTGATGCTCGACAAACAAGGATACATTAAACTGGTACTGCTTAACCTGTAAATTACACACATACTTAAATATGTAAGTTGTCCTGAATAAATAAATATATACTTATTTGTTTTTTTAGGTTGACTTCGGCTTTGCTAAACGGATATCTCCGAACAGCAAAACATGGACATTCGCTGGTACACCAGAATACGTAGCTCCTGAAATTGTTTTAAATAAGGTTAGTTGAAATCTTATCATTGTAAGAACGATTAAACATCTTTGTTTGCAGATCCTATGATTCTGTTACTTTCTGTACAGGGTCATGACCGGGCTGTGGATTGTTGGGCATTAGGGGTGCTTGTCCATGAACTGCTAGTTGGTAAACCTCCGTTCCGAGCTCCAGGAGGTGATCATATGAAGACTTACACGCTAATCCTGCGCGGTATCGAAGCAGTAACATTCCACCAACGAGTTCCGAAGTCTGCTCAGATGCTCATCCGCAAACTGTGTCGCGCTGTGCCCGCTGAACGACTCGGATACCTCAAAAACGGAATAGCTGACATTAAGAGTCACAAGTAAGTTCAAGGCATCTTTGTAGCATCGTCATTAAAAGTAATAAGATTTTCGAAAAAGAATTAGAAAGGGAGAATAGGACTAGTTTGTGTTTCTATAAAAATTTAAAATAACGTTAAAAAATGCTCACTTAAATAATATTTGAAAATGCTTAATTAAGCTAGTCACTGCATATGAGAACAAAATTTCATTAATATAGCTTCCGCAGTTTACATAATTTCCATATCATAGAAACCCGCACCGATTTCAAAAAACTAATAAATTGATTGACATTATTAGTCCGTTTGACATAAGTAGATTAATAATGAAACGATCGTAGATTACTAATGAAATTTTCAGAACAAATAAGTTTATTTATACCAAACTTTACTTTTGTCTGTCTATAATTAATATACGTTTTCAAATTGTATTTACTTCTATTACACAGATGGTTCTTGGGCTTCGATTGGGAGGGACTCGTGGAACGCCGTCTCAAAGCTCCTCTAGTGCCTCACGTTGCCAATGATTTGGACCGCAGGAACTTTGAGGAGTATCCCAAGGACACGATGCCGCCTGACGAGACATCCGGATGGGATTTGGATTTCTGACTCTGAACAAATAAATTATGTATTATGTTACTGCAGTGCCTTAACTTTGTAACTAGGTGCAATATTTTAATAGATTTTAATTATATTTCACATTTTAATTATTATCACAGTATTTTTTACAGTATTTCATAAATAATTACGATCGTATATTTTAAAAGTGTAGGTAGGTAAAATGAAATCGGTATGAAGGATTTTCTGTCTGAAGACAACTCCTTGCCGTAGGAAACACGACGTGTACAGAAATACAGGAAACCTAGCCAGCCAACCAGAAACCTATCAGTCCTAGTTGCCCTTCAGATGACAGTCATTTAAGATCTGAGAGATTAGTCTCGTGTTATCGAAAAATAAGCAGTGATACAAGCGCGATCTGGGGATGACGGAAGTAAAAAAAAAACTAAGCCAGATGTGTTTCACTTTTTAACTGACTTCGGTAGAGTGTAGTTCAGACAGTTGACAGAATCTGATGATGATTTTCCAGGGAAAGCGAGGGAAGTGGGTAAGCGAGTTACTTGTTTTGTTTCTGATAATCTCCTACGCTTAATTGCGGTTTTAAGTGGGGATACTTATTGTGACAGACAGAAAACTACGGAACCCTTCACTGAGCGTAGCCCGATAGGCTTCTGCCCATCACACAAAGTTTAACTATACTTCTTTTGTTATTATAAGCCATACTTAATGCACTTCCCGCAAATATAAGAGCTGCTGGTTTCCTCATTTATTTACGGTATATTTTCCACATTATACTATCTTAGTACAGAAATTTATATATAGGTATTTTTATTTTGCATTTTTCCAGCATTTTTTTTAAAGATTGCGAAATGACTTTCGGAATATTTACCATTTCCAGAATAGCACTACATAAGGCAGAAGACATTTAACGACCAAATATAACGACTTAAATTGCATTGTATTCTATAAAAATCACGGAATAATATAAAAAAAAATAATTAAACTAAATGAAAACATAATACTTAACTTAATCGAATTCTTAAATAGTAAAGTGGAGTACCTTTCTTTTTGTAAGGGAAAAATCATTTAATGACTTCTCCCGCCCAAGGGCCGGGAGGGAGTGCAAGACTCTTACTGACTAAAAACCCCCCTGTTCCTTCTCCTGTTCTGTGCCGAGGTCGCAGTGCCTCATTGCGCTTACCCCGCAACCCCGGCTGATAGTGGAGGTAAAGTGAATAATAACAACTATTCAATATTGACAATATGAATTAATACCTAAACTTTTTTCTAATAACATGTCTATTTAAATTAAAGGACATCAATAAAATATATTCTGGTTTCATTTCTTGAATTCGTAGAACAGAACAGACTTGAAAAGTCGTGTAAGTATGAGTGACTGGCGTGCAGGTGAACCTGGTCTGATGGCGTGAGAGCAAGCGAAAACCCGTGGAATGAGAATAAGGTCAGTGGGGAGAATAACAGCCGGCATACATATGTGTGCCAGCCAGCCTGCGCGCACGCACCGCACCGCGTCGCCTTGTTTATGCGAACCACTGCCATTTGAATATCGAGAGCGAGCCGTAACGTGCACTTGAAACAAAAACATAAAACAGTGTAAACTCCTATTATAATAAAACTCGATGTAACATTTAACACCAAACTCCTTAAACTTCAAAATTTCTCGTCTTTAGTTGGTTTACCTACATTGTTGTCTATACAATAATACCCTTCATATAACAACACACTTACTCTAATTAACGACCACGATAAGGTATTACTAATTACTAAGAAATACTGACTAAGCTGCCGAAATCAATGCGACTGTAGTTGTGTACCTTCTTTTTTACGTTTATGTGACAAAAAATGAGGAAATGTAAAGATAAACCTTGATCAGGCAACAGATTCATCGTTTCATTTAATTTGTATTGTTTTTATTTTTTTATGTAATAGGTCGGCAAACGAGCTGACGGATTATCTGATGGTAAGCAATCAGCGCCGCCCATGGACACCCGCAACGGAGGAGTTACGAGTGCGTTGCCGACGTTTTAAGAATTAGGGATTTGGAGATTTAAGGTCTGGGGAGGGATTGGGGAAGGGGAAGGATTGGGCCTCCGGTAACCTAACTCACACGACGCAACACAACGCTGTGGATGTTGGGACCGCTCCGGATGAGCCGACCCATTCGTACGAAAGCATGGCTCTCCCATACTTATATTATTTTGTATAATACACTCATACATGAAATGAAATAAAAATAAAAAATGAAATAAAAAATCACATTATTTTAACGTTTCAAACGTTAAAATAATGTGATTTTTTATTTCTTTCTATTTAACGACCACTCTATGACGTCGAAATATTCACTATATGTATTTGAACAACTACGAACTAGGTTATATGATAATAACCGAAAAAAATAATGATTCAAACATCTGTTGTAATGTTTTTTCATAATGTGTATGTATGTATTCTGTGTTTGTCACTGGTATATCAATAAAAATATCGTAGTAGTTGTTAATCCGTGCTTGATTAGTCACCAATTTTTGGTTGATAATTATATCTAAGGATTTCCTATCGGATATTGAATACTTTGAACATTTAATCCAGTTTGTACTTCCAGTAATTGTTTTTATAGTTATGTTGAGGAAAAGTTAAAACACGTATTTCTGATTGTGATTCTGATGTTTGTGAGATAAGTACAAAATTAATTCAAGATCTGATATTGTGGTAATATCAATATTTTTTAGGAAGGATTTTTAATAAAAGTTAGTTATATTATACCTGTTCGATTCGAAAATAACTACAAGTTACTTACTTTAGTTATTATAGGTACATAAATCGGCTTCTAAGACAAATAAGCAGGTACCTACTAAATTTTCATTTTTCCTAACAACTGAAACAATGCTGCGTGTAGGAATTATGTACGAAAACCTATTAAAATATTATTTTAGATATCTGCAGGTGTCGATATATGCTATAAAAATGCCGTTCCACTGTACGAATTTTTTTATATTATTGTTGTATCGAACAGGGGGCCACGAAATGGATTTTTGTTGCGTGGAAAATCACCAATTACGTCTGCCTGCCCAGAGAAAGTCAGGAACAACCATGCTCCCACTCTTGCTCTGTGCCCCGGTACCTCCATACCTTCACGACGACCTACCCGCTACTCCAGCACAACGTTCCTATCTATCGGAACTGGCTGTACTTAATGTAGATATCATCTAGTTACTTCAGTACCAGCTCATCATAAGAATAAGTAAGCCAAAAAAACTATCAGGAGAATATGAGATGAGGCGGTATTGCAGCTCGGGAGATGCAGACGTGCTCTCCACAGAGGCTCACACCGAGCGGCATGCGGCATGGCGAGCCCCGCCGGCCGGCCGCGGCGAGCCCCAGTCGCCACTCTAGTAACCGGCTGTTATCACGCGCGCGCTCGTGCCACGCTCTAAGCGCGATGCAAATTCACTCAAACTCATCGAATAATAACAACCACAATGCCATAAACCCAACACAATCATTTTCTGTATAATGGGAAGCGAATGAATGTAAAATTCTCTAACTAGTGACATTCGGGTAGTGATCAGTGACTGTTTTGTAGTGAAATTATAATTATTTTGAAGGTGAGTTTTGTTGTGAATTCTGGGACGAAGTGGAATGACGCTTTAGTGACGTAGTCGCATTTACAAAATAATCATCATACCAAGGCATGGTATGTGGCATCAAGTGGAAAGTTGTAGTAAGTGGAGTTGTCCATTGAACTTTGCACTGGGAATGTGTTTTACGTTAGCCAGGTCTACAATATTATTGTTTAACTATTTTTTTAAATAAATGGACTTGTGTGTATGAAATGAAATTGTTTAAACATACATAAGTACCTATCATCATTAAAAAACAGTCAAAACTTACGTTAGCTCTGCCGGTGCCCGACTACCTGCCAAGAGTGCTAAGTATTGAAACATGTAGCTAATGAATAAATTATGAATGATTTGATAACAATAAACATATGAGTGAGGGTCACTTGACTTCAAAGTGACAGAATTACATTGCATTAATTGTCCAAGTAGCAGGTAAACTAAATTAAATAATATTAATTCGAAAATGGTGCGAGACAGCTGTCTCGTCGTTAATTTATTTCTGCAACGTATTTTTTCAATAAAACGTCCCATATTTGTTTTTTATTAGAATCGCCTACACGCAAATGGTAGCCGTCGTCGTAAAAGTGGTAGTTGACAGTGAGCAGTAGTGTGAGTGTGATAGCCATAATAGCCGGCACAGTGCACACAGCTAGCGTGCGAGCGGAGCATGGAGGCGGTATGCGCACGCGGCGACGCGGGCTGCGAGGTGCGCGCGCTGGCCGGCGCCCTGCACTCGCTCAACCTGTACTGCGCCTCCATCAGCGCCGCGCTCATGTGTTGCTGCGCGCCCATACACAAGCACTACAGGTACACCACTACACCATATCATCATATACCACACTATTTCACACCACCATCTACAGACTGCTATAACAAGATATCACCATGGATTAAACTTAACCCATTATCAGTATCCATTCATTCAAGTCTAGGTACTATAAGACTGCATTATACATTCATAGGAGATTTAAAAGAAAAAATAACTGTCTATCCTTAAATATGATCTCATAATTTTTATGAGATGTTTTGTTTGTTATCAAATGCCTAAGTAAAGATGACGTATATGTATCTATTGTCAGTCAAATTTTAAAATCAATATTGGATCATGAATGCAAATTACACAGAAATATAATATGTATAATTAGTTTTAATACAGTTAATGGTGTAGATGTAAATGTAGATGGTCACTTACATATGCAATCGATTATACGAAATATAACAACACAGGCATTCAAAGCGATGGCGAGGACAAAATGTACGAGGGATAGCAAGCCTTGTGCTGGGAGTAGCCTGGTGCTGCGACGCCGCCGCGGCGCTGCTGCGGCCCGCAGACACGGTGCGACTGGTGGCGGCGCTAATGGCACCCTGGTCGTGGCTTGCAGCCGCCGCCTTCCATGTGGCCCTATGGACGCGACGCTCAGCAGCTCCCATTCTCTACCTTTCCATATACTGGATGCTCGCTGCGATCTCCGCAGGGACCATTCTGTGGCAGCACTTTGTCAAGGGAGCTGCCACCAATCACGTA